TTAATCAAGGTTTTATGATGCTGAAAAGGTCTTAGTAACAACTCGGCAGTTCTTTGAATGGTGAATGGTGGTCTACAATGTACAAAAGAACTCAATTATGATAGACTAAAAAAATCATTAACTAATATTATCATTAGGGTTTGTACTTCCACCGAGTATTATTATATTTGGATAGCAATTTCCACCCGGGTACAATCCCTAGTTATCATTACCTCTCAAATTCATCGAGCATTTTGTTAATATTTTGTTTATATTCTTCTATCTCTGCTTTAACTTTATCGATTTGTTCGGGGTCTGCACCATTTATTGCAATCGGTAATTGTGCTTCCTGACAAATCTATTAATCATTTAAACTAATCAATAACAATAAAATCAAGAAATCATTGGTTTTCCCATCTACCTTTTCAAATCTTTCTCTAATTATATCTTTAACTTCTGGCCAAGGAATTCTTTATTATATTTGATGTTAGTTTTGCTTAAAATTTCCAAATAATAAATTTGTGTAGCCGTACACTCACGTAGATGTAAATAGCACGCGCACATACATACGTGAGTTGGTTCATTTCTGATATATGCGTTAAGACCTCATCGTTAGTCGATAAAATTTTTGACTCTAGATTGTATGTAAAGTATTTTTTGTAAGTTTAAAAGAAAGGGTTAATTAAGAAGGGCGAACAAATCGGGATCTCTTAAACCTGTCGATTCTTGCTCCTTTGATGACGAAGCTTGTGGCAGTGGATCAGAATCCGTCTGGGCCTGTTGTGGTGTGGTTTGTGTCGCCAACTCTATAAAAGACAACTAAAAGATTAAATATGATTCCTTAGATCTATTTTAGAAAGATTTTAATTACCATCACCATCGGGTTGACTTGTCAATGCCATAACCTCGTCGGATTTTGGCTTTGCAGAGAAAAAACTGGAAAAAAACGAAGTCATATAGCACGAACGCACTAAATATTATAATTATTTTAATTTTTACGTAATATAAGAACTAAGCGTGGGAAATATATGGTAATCTTCCTTTTAAGACGACTATTTTATTTATGGACTAGTTTTCCGAACCCACATCATGATCCAAACGTCACCAAACGTCACGTGATTATTTCAACCTCCCTTCT